GTGAGATGCTGTCCAACTAGGAAGAACTGGCTGATGATATAGGTGACAGAAATTCTGGGGTAAAAGTAACTATAATAATTAAGGAAATGGATCTCTGGCTCCGGCTAAATCTGAACCATGACTTTAGCAAAATTAATTTCAAAAAGTTCAGAGAATTAACAAGTATGATTTTGTGGCTAGAGTCTTCAAAAGAGGCTAACAATTGACAAGAAAGAGAAAATTAGAAAAATAATTTCTGACCAATCAATTGCAAATAATATCAATGCAAAGTAGAGGGAAAAGAACCAAATAAACCAGCTTAAAGGGTTTTCTCATATGAGCTCATATTAAAAAATATATGAGAAGAAGGACACATATGCAAGGAAGAATAAAAAATAACAATGTGAATTGGTAAGAATAGGCCAGGCTTGGATAAATAAGTAACAGCAAAAGGTTTTCAAAGCAAGATCAAGAAAAGTTAAATACCCTGACCAGGTAAAAAGACAGAGAAGACAGACCTTGTCCAACTCCTATCATGATTCCCTTTTCTGTTAGAAGGGTTTTCAACCTGGAAAGGATATAACAAAAATCCTAATAAACAAAATGCAGCCCAAGGAAGGTGAGGGCAATTTACACATGTAAATGTCATTAAACACAGAGCCTATAGTCCAAGAAACAAATTCTTAACATGGACTACAGAAATGCAGTTTATACACATTCAGGCACTAGAAATTTCCCTGTCTTAAAAAAGTTTTATTTTCATCTTTGACAGTTATACCTTTTTGACAGAAGAAATTTGAATATTTTATTGACAACAGCAAAGCATTTTACAAAGTTTTTAATAACATTATTATATATATGTAAGGTTGGTCTGTAGCTAAGCAAACAAGAAGATTAACCAATTACCTGGAGACCACCAGAAGAATCATCTGTAGTAAGCCTTGCCTGGTCCCATTTAACTTATTTTATCAGTAATTTCAACAAAGGGAAAAAGACCACCTCTAGAAAGCCCTGCCTTGTCCTGTTTGATAGATTTTATTAATTGCTTGAATACAGACAAGAAGTTGATGTGTTTATGAAAATGTGCAGGTGATATACAACTGTACAGAAAACCTAACACCCTGACACTTTATTTTTTTTTTTTATATATATATTTTATTGATTTTTTACAGAGAGGAAGAGAGAGAGACAGAGAGCCAGAAACATCGATGAGAGAGAAACATCGATCAGCCGCCTCCTGCACATCTCCTACTGGGGATATGCCCGCAACACAGGTACATGCCCTTGACCGGAATCGAACCTGGGGCCTTTCAGTCTGCAGGCTGACGCTCCATCCACTGACCAAACCGGCCCTGGCAACCCTGACACTTTAGAACAGGGTTAGTTTTAAAAACCTCGTTAGTATGAAGGGTATGTTATCCATTACTAAAATTTGAAGGATTTTTTAAATGAATGGGTTGGTTCTATGTAACCCCAAAGTAGAATCACTGAGTAGAAGAAAGTATAGGGGAACAAATTTTAGGGTGAAAAAAGGAAAAACTTCCTAACAGACTGAAATATAGATGGAATGTGCTCCTTCTTTCAGTAATGAGCTTCCAATTACTGAATATACATAAGCATGAAATAAACAATTAGTTCTCAGTAGGTATGAGAGGTGAACTGAAATCAGTTTTCAAATTAGTTTTAATAAAAGAACCATTGCCCTACAGACTGATATACAAAACAAATGAAGAGAAAGAAACTGCTGTAGTTAAAATTCCCTACCACATGTCACATTTAACTATTCTAGAACTGGATCAGGTGATCTCTTGATTAGTGAAGCTGTGATTTCTCAAGATTTGTTAACCAAATAGTTTAGATGAATGGTCTCTCAAATGGAGTGAATGAGAGGATGTTTGGGGTGTGGAGAAAATCAGAACACACACACACACACATACATGTATCAAAATAAGAAATTATACTTTCTGAATTGAGACTAGTAATACCTGTAATTTTCAAGAGTTTGTCATGTCAGAGCCATGATCAACTATAATGCTCTCAGAAACTGAGGTATTTTAACAATTTAAAAAGAATGCAAAAGTTTTTGAGAGAAAAAAATCCAAACCTACTAATTTAACATAACTTTTTGCATATTTCTATCTAGTCCCTATCCACACATTTTTGGAATTATCAGCATGGTACATAAGATTTTTTAAAGATTTTCTCCACATAAATTGAGTATTTCCACAAATGTCTATAAGCTTCATAATTATTTCATGGCTAATAAAAATGGAGATTCATAATGTATTAAAACGATTTCCTACTGTTGACCATTCAAATCAGACTGGCTGTCCTTTTTGCTATTATGTAATTACTAGAGGCCCAATGCATGAATATTTGTGCAAGAGTAGGCCTTCCTTCCCCTGGCTGCCAGCACTGGCTTCCCTCTGGCACCCAGGACCCAGGCTTCCCTCACAACCCCGGCTTCGTCTGGAAGGACGTCGGTCTAATTAGCATATTACACTTTTATTATTATAGATTCCTATCTCTGTACACGGTAGATGTATCCTGAAGATAAATCCCTAAAGTGGAATTAGTGCAATATAAAGTATGAACTTCAATGGTTCTTGCTATACACAGTAATGCTTTCCAATGGGTCTTAATCAATTCACCTGTAGCCACTACTTGGACCTTGAACAAAACACAAGCTGTGCACTCTATACATTTTGTACCTTACTTCTCAGAAGTCTATGCAGTGGGTAGTTACTATTCCTGTTTTATGGGTAAAGAAACTGAAGCTAAGGCAGGCAATAGAGAGCATGTATATTTTAAGGTCTTATTAAAAAATATAATTCACACCATCAAGTTCTTATTTAAAAAATATATAAACATACATATATATTTATTTAAATACAGGCAGCTGTTCATGTCATACAGTCAATCCATTCATCTAGATCAGTATTTCCTGAGATATATTTGATAACATACTTGGCTCTCACTACTTTGGCCCCAAAGAAACTATTTTCCTTTAACTATACTGTAGTGTTATACCTTTAGCTTACACGAGGGATACTCAGAAATATCCACATGCAACTCACTATTACATTTATTGTTGAAATGGTGATGAGAACTTCATTTACTATATCTCTTACAATACAAAATCCAAGGCCCTGACAGAGAAGAAATACTTTTCACAGCAGGGCCAGAAACACTTCACTTCTCCTAAGCCACAAGTGTACTTTTAATCTAATGAACAGTGAAAAATTTTAACAGATAACATTTATTTACTTTAGCCACTAGGAAATTCAGAGCAATATCTGAAATCCTCTTTGGTAACTATTAAGCTATTCAAGACATTTTTCTAAACTAATTTTAGCTCTGCTCTCAGCCTACTATTCCTCTATTAACTTCCCCACCCCCTGATTTACTTCAACGTAACCCGAATTTACCACACTCGCAAAATCGCACACAGCCAACCATACACCCAGTATGGTATCGCGATTCGCGATTTTGCGCTATCATACTGGGTGTATGGTCGGCTGTGTGTGATTTTGCGAGTGTGGTAAAATCGCATAACAGCAAAATCGCATAACAGCCGAGCATACACCCAGCAGCGCTGCTGATGCCTGAACGGTATGTGGAATGAAGTGGGCGGGCATCGGGAGGCCACTATGGCACGGGGCAAGCACTATGGGCATTCTATCTGAAGTGTACCTGGCGTATAAGACGACCCCCCACTTGGAGGCATATTTTTCAGGGCGAAAAAATCGTCTTATACGCCGGCAAATACGGTAAACTTTAAGGATCACAGTCCAATGCCAGTTTCCATATTTATGTGGAAATCTGACTTCAGTAGCTATAAGAATATGTATGTATGTGTGTGTATATACACATAAAGCAATGAAAATATTTTTTGGGTAACTACTATAACCTGCATCAAATGTAAAAATAACCTTACACTCCTACTAGGCAAACTGCCTAAAAACCTTAGTTTAGTATCTCACATTAAGAAAATCATTTAGCCCTAGCCAATTTGGCTTAGTGGATAGAGTGTCAGCCTATGGACTGAAGGTCCAGGCATACTAGTAACTCCAGCACTCAGTTTACCACTGTTATTTCTGGCCAAGGGCACATGCATGGGTTGTGGGTTTAATCCCCAATAGGGGGCCTGCAGGAGGCAGCCAACCAATAATTCTCTCATCATTGATGTTTCTCTCTCTCTCCCTCTCCTTTCCTCTCTGAAATCAATTAAAAAAAATATATATGTAAAGAAAATCACTTAAAATTACTCAAAACTTTCCAATCATAATTCTTATTTTTATTCATAGTCTAAAAAATTCTGATAAAACTCTGAAAACTAGCTCAACAAGCAAATGCATTTAGTTCAGGGTTAGGGTCTATTTCAGGTTTTGAACAATTAACATAACCTAACCTGTGATCTAGTAAGTTATTAATAGCTCATCTAAGCAATCTATATTTGTTTTAGATAGGTAATATATATATTTCCCAAATATATATATATTTTTTAAAAACTCTGTATTTTACATTTAAAAGATTTAAAGCATATTTTAGTACATATTTGGTTTTTATAAAATTTTTCTAGGAGAGCATTGCCACTCATTTTACAGAAATGAGAAAACTAACAAGACATACTAAAACTAATAACGTTTTAATGCCTTTCTCAAGATAGCATGTGCTAATAGAACTAGAAGTGAACAAGAGAACTTTCCAGACTTTTGGAATGAAGATAGGACATGGACTAGCATGAAAAGTTTTTAATCTTCACTGGCAATGTCGCAAAAGATTAATCTTGGACAAAAACAACTTTGTGTCAGGCAACAGATGGATTCTGACTTTACTGTTAAATGGGAACTAATAATGAAAGATTTCATCTCCTGCAACATAAATGCCCTTAGGCAAAAATGGGTCTGATCCAACTTAGTTCAATGTAACAAATGGTTTAATGAAAATAAAGTCAGCTTCTGACATCTGCTTTTTGTAAGAAAAGAGGGGATTCCAAATTCTGAGCCTGAGTAGGCTACCTAGTATATTTCTAACTTCATTTTAAACAGCATCCAGCCATTCTTCCGAAGAACTTCAATTCACACAAGGGTTGGGGTATTTTCAGCATATCTGTAATGACAGTGATTTGTGCCAAAACAGGCCACACCACTAATTGGCTAAGGGACCGGCAGTACACTAAGCTGTACCCTGGGAGACCAACGAGGGTTTTTTTTTGATAGAAGACCTAATCACATTCTGATCTAAATCTTAGTTAAATGTACCTGCATTGCAGTTTTAGTCCTGTTGAATGATTAAACTCACCAATCTATATTTTATACTTCTTAAAAATTTGCCTTTCTAATATACTAATATAGTTTATATTCAGGGTGTTGGAATTAAAGTGAATTATCTTCAATGACATTACGTCTGTACAGATTGCTTTCTGCTATTGGCATCTCATTTGATATATAATCAAGAAATTATATGGAAAGTATGACTTTAAAAATAACAAAAAAATTTAACATAAAAAGATATTTACACCTTATATAAAAAGTTATTTATGGGACCCTTTTGTGCTTTTTGAAAATAGAGCACTATTTTATTCACATTTATTCTTTTGGTTGTGCTGTTGATACTTGGAAGGTATTAAATATTCACATGTATCAAAAGAAATAAAATGGAGGTAATCATGACTTTTTAAAAAAAATACATTTTTATAAAAGAGACTTATGTGTTCTCACCTGAGGCTGCTGTGGCATTTGTTGGGGTTGAAGCAGCTGCTTGAATCCGAGCATGAGGAGGAATAAGAATGGTAGCTAGAGGTGGATTACTGGACAGTTCTAGAGAAATAGTAAGAAGACATAGGTTAGAGCTCACTTTTAACTTAGGATGTGAAACAACTTTATTGGTAACAATATGTGATACTACAGTAAAACACTAGTTTAACAGAAAAAAAAAAAAGCTGTGATAAACCTACGCCTGAAACTAAATGAGCTACAGAGAAACCAAGACACTATCTGCTAACATTAGAATATGCCTGAGAACTCAAGATATCTAGGAGAAGCACTGGCCAAAAGTTTGAGATTAAGCATATCAATAAAATCTATTTCCATCTTTTAATAACTTAAATATACTAGATTTTCCCAAACTACTCTGATAACATTTGAGTAAGGAATTAAGGGTGATGGTGCCAGAGAAAAAAAGAATATGACTATAGTTCATGAAATAAAACAGCATAGATCAATTTTAACCGCAATCTTATACCTAGCAAAGAAAGAGAATCCCAATTTCCACGGCTGGGATGAAAATGGAATAAAAATGAATACAGGATGTAGTATTCTCAGTAACTTAAAAGTCAGATTTACCATCGCAATTAAGATAAAAATCTGCTAAAATAGAAAGGCTTCTTTCAAATCCATCTCTCCATTGAACATGAAACAGTGTGTTAGGTCCCAGTATACAGAGAGAGAAAACGTTAACTGTCTATGTCTGATCAACAGAAATAGAAAATGGAAAGACAACTAGACAAACAAATTGGAACGAAAGGCATTCAACATATTCAGGATACAGGCACTTTTAAATTAAAAGATTTCTATGACCAAATGCCCAACATTTAAAAATAAGAACATATGATCAGGAATTTTAATATAAGACTTTTGGACCAAGTTTCTTTTAAAATAAACTTTAAAATAAACTCATTATCAGGGTTTGTGGTCACTTTACTCATGGTCCATGCTGCCCATTTGTTTACCCTCTTTTACTAGATCATCTATCTTTCTGTGTATCTGTATGCCTACTTGAGGGGTCATGATGGTTTTAGGTCTTACTAGAGGCCCGGTGCACAAAATTTGTGCACGGGAGGGAAAGGTGTCTCTTAGCCTGGCCTGCACAATTTCTGACCTGGGACCCCTCGGGGGATGTCCGACTGCCGTTAGTCAGACATCCCTCTTGCAATCTGGGACTGCTGGCTCCTAACCACTTGCCTGCCTGCTGGCCTGATCCCCCTAAGTTCTCTCCCCCACCAGCCTGATCCCCCTAACTGCTCTCCCCTGCCAGCTTGATCACCCCTAACTGCCTCTGCCTTGGCCCCGCCACCATGGATTTGTCTGGAAGGATGTCTGGTCTAATTAGCATATTACCCTTAAGCAAGAGGCCTGGTGCACGGGTGGGGGTTGGCTGGTCTGCCCTGAAACGGGTCCCGGATCAGGGTGGGGGCCCTCTTGAGGAGCTTGGGCAAGGGGCCTGGGGCAGTTTGCAGGCCAGCCACGCCCCATCAGGGTGGGGGTCCCTGCTGGGGGGCATGGCTGGCCTGGGCGAGGGGCTGAGGGCCATGTGCAGGCTGGCCACACCCCCATCAAGGT